CACCGTCGTAAATTCCCCCTAATTTTGGTATGATCCGAGCTCAGGCAGTAGGCGACTGAGCACAGCACCCATGCGAGTTTGCTGCAGACAGAGGAGAGCTTAAGTTTGACCAGGTACCAAAGGAAGTCATTCGTACTGTACAAATAATGTAAATATGACGGTGTATCACAAAAGATTGATATCAAACTGATCACTTGGTTGCGTTACTTGCTCTTCGATTGAATCAACAAATGGATAAATACAAAGCCGAACAACAATGCTTTGGTAGAATTAAAAAAAATAAGTGTAGTGCAGGTCTATGATGATTTTTAGTGCTGCTATCATCTAGTTCTGATTCTGGTTCTGTCTTGGTTAAGTCCTAAGTAGTCCTGATTTTGAACTGTTGTTGTCCTGTTTTAATTCTGGATCAGTTCTGGGTCTGGTTGAATTGGGGTTTAGTCCCTGTGTCTTGATACAGCCCCGACTTTGTTCTGCCTTGCTGCTTAATTAAAAAAAAATAGTTTAAGGTGTCCTGCATATGTGATATTTATTTTTTTCCTATATGAAGTCATTCTTTTTTTTTAACAAAACTCAAAACAGAGCCTAATAATCTTTCAGTCATTTCTACCCTCACTTAATTTCCTTTCGCTGCTCAGCTCTCACACAGTGGCTCAGCTATGCAGTTTAAAGACTTTTTTTGTCTCAGTCTTGGGCTCGTCTCGACTTGGTCTTGTCTTGGTCTCAATACCCTCTGGTCTTGGTCTTGTCTTGGTCTCGGATTAGGCGGTCTTGACTACAAGTCTAATCAAAAGTGATACATTGATTCTTTAAAATTATGTTTGTCGAGTTTGTTCAGTAATTACAAAAAACCCCCAGTGTTTAATAAGGTTAGAAAATACGCCTAAATTACAAATTTATGTATATTTAAAAAAAAAAAATCAGAGCTGAATTAAAACGCACAAGAGCTTTGTTCAGAGTCAGCGTTAGCTTGTCCTGCACACAAAACAACCAGTTGCAAACTGCAGGCCTCTCAGCTTAACAAGCTCCAGTTAACACACCCATGAGAATGTCTATGCCCATATAGATTTCAGTGGGTCCAGTTTCAAGTAGAATTCTGCTTCCACAGTCAACAGGCAGCTGCTGTCACGAAATGCAGTGTTTTTTCTCATACCTGTTTGCGTCCATCCAAACAGGTATTAGATAAAAACACTGCCATTTTGTGGCTTCATGAAAAGCTATGACTCATGTTGTTGTTGGGGCTTTTTCTTTTGTGGTAGTTTTTTATGAGTTTTGCCTTTTGTTGTAGGTGATTTTTCAAGCACAAGAAAAACTGACAGAAGAGGATGGGTACTTTTCTTTTTCTTTTACATTTTGTTAGTTTTTTTTTAAAAATAAATTTCCCTGTAACTAATAATAATTCACGTTTTTAATTGCTAGTCATTCTTACTTCTTCTTTTCTCAATTTGCTCTCTTTTTATCAAATAAGATGTCTCCAGATGATACTGAAGCCTTCAATATGACCAATTTAGTCCCTGGTGATGACCCACCTAAAGGTGAGCTGCTGTATTTCCTCTGTTTCCCAACAGAGGGCTTAAATAGAATAGAATAATCCTTTAATTGTCCCACAAGCGGACATTTGCTTCTAAATACACCAGTTGTTCCCAAAGTTTTCTACCTCATAAAATATATGGCTCTTAAAGTACCACCCTGATGACTAACATTAAAATACAGTAGTATAGGCCTATTTAACACCATATATAGTTTACACAAGACAATTTTACTTCTTACATGAATGTTATTTATTTTAACTGTCATAAACAGGATGTGACAAGTAATAATAATAACAACTGTACTGCATTAAAACATTTAAAGCAGATGGGATATACGGTCTTTGATTGATGACTTATGAACCCTGCTTCCAGGTCCAACCTACTCTACGTTTATTAAGGCTGTTTTGTTTTTAATATGTTTTAATGCTTTGCATCTTGTTCTATTTACCGTATTTTCTGCACTATAAGGCGCACTTAAAATCCTTTCATTTTCTAAAAAAATCAACAGTGCGCCTTATGTATGAATTCTGGTTGTACTTACTGACCACGGACCGATTGTATGCGCTCAAAAATCTGTCAAAAAATGTTTTAGTACTACTTTGGTAAGCTACAAAGCCGCACCATTTGATGGATTATCGGAGCATTACGGCTACCGTAGTCCAGAGCCTCATGGAGTAATCTGGATCCAAAACTCCGTTCATTTCAGGTCCCAAAGTCAAACAAACACTGAGAGTTAAAAACTGTCTGAATTCTTTCATCTGTGATAAAATGATCAGAGTTGCTGCTTTACCAGAAGTAACAATTAAGTTTAATGTCCAGGCATCCATGAAAACAGAATTTATTAAATTTAACAGAGTTAGAAGTTAGCAGGAAGTTAGCCTAAATGTGATATGCCATGTTCTGACAGAGAGATTTCTGAAAAAATTAAAAAGGTACAGCTCTGCTATCACTTCCAACATAAATGAAGACAGAAAACTAAACATCAGTGTAACTCCGAAATGACAACACAGGCACGGCTTCTTCAAGACGGGCGCTTCGCTGCATTTATTGAACGCCGTGAAAACTGCAAACATAAAACACAAAGGCTTTAAGTGCTTCAGTCTATCAAAAGTAACACTTGTGCTTTACAACAAAAATTACCTCGTGGCCGCCTGCCACTTCGGAGGTCCTAGAAGAATAGCTTTACAGTCTTGTGCATTCTAAATTAAAACATAAAATAATTAGAACACCATACATTACAAATTTTCACAATATTACAATACAGTTGTGGCAAATGACAAATACCTTGTACCACTGGTAGACTAACCCGGCCTTTGCAGATAGCTCGCTGAACTCCTTAGCGTGATTATTAAACGTGGGCTCACAGCCTATACTATCACGCCCAAACCTCGCGATAATAGCGGTGTAACAAAACTACAATATTGACCACAGACACGTACAAGCAAGAACATTTTAACTGCTGGAACCATCTATTAAACTTCTTTATACATAAGCCATTTCTGTGTCACTTACAATCTGTGACTTTTGTAAGGTAACTGAAGTTGGGCTATAGCTGGTATATAATGATGTGCTACATGATATCTAGCGACACAGCTATGTTAGCATAACATAACCACAGTTATGTTGGTGAAAACATGTCACTTCCAGCCAATTTTAAATCAAAATTTCAAAGAAAGACTGGTCTGGACCAGGTAATGTGTTTAGCAAAGGTTACCATGGCAATGTAGGTGGTAAAAAGAGATCCACTTTTGTGACACTAAAATCTCTGAGTTTAGATTCAAATTACCTTGCTCAGTCAATAACCTTGCTTCATAGAACACTCCTCAGACCTTTTCCCATTTCATACCCATTACATTTTCATGTATAGACATATAAAGTGAAAGAAAGGTAACTCTGGATCTGTCTTCTGGTTCTGTTGCAGGGTCTGATCATCTAAACAGAAAAGAGTCTCAAACTGAGAATGTAAGTAAAACAAGTGCATCCTCAGTATTGAACTGACTACAGAGATTACTATTTACAACAGAGAAGATAAGATACAGATGCAAAAACCTTTTTGCTCTATTTTATTTCTAGTCTTCTGTATACCACTTGTACTCCACCATCCCTGAGGAGCCAGATGAAACACCTACAACGAAAACAGAACTGGCGTACAGCACTCTACAGCCACACTGAAGCATATGAAAAAATACTGAACTGGAAAAAAACAAAAACAAAAGATAAGACTATATGGCCATTACACACTCAAGCCGTATAGACAAGGCAGGAGATGTTTTTCTTTTTTTATGTAGGAATCTCACCCGGATAACTTTTCTACTTCAGCTTTCAAATTGTATTAAAGACAACAATTTTCAAAAGATTAACATACCTTTTTTTATTTTGGTGTCAGCCCATAGCTTTGTATTAACAGTGCAATGTGTTATTCAAGCAGCATTTGTGTTTTTCTAACTTTTTTTTCCCCAAGATTTATTTTTGTTTTTATTTTAATAACAAAAGCTGTTACAGAATACTCATGGCACATAGTAAATATCTACAACTCATTACAATATAATAAGTTATTGTCACTGCAGAAACAAAAGTGTATATTTTTGTATCCATGCCATTCAAGGATGATTTCAAGCATCAGAAAACCAAACACAAAAAATAATCACAATATTGGTAATTACGACAAAAAAGAATAGGTAGGATTGGAGTAAGACAGTAGAAGTTTTTGTCTTTTGGTTTAATTCTGTTCAGTAGGTAAGTTTGTTCAATCCTGAAGTAGTCTCCCTTTTTTTGTTTTGGCATTAGGTCCACCCTGAGTTGTAATCACCCATATGGAAAAGAACATTTCATACATTGTTTTAGTAAGTATCCAAAACGTACAAGTTTCATTATATAATTTTTCAAGGGATCTTATATCTGTTTTCACTCTTATATGCTTTTCATACAAGTTTCACACAAGACAGATACAAACTTTATAAGATTTATATATATCTTTTCCATATGGGCAGTTCTTCTTTTTGTGTTAAATAACCTCAGGAATCATTCTATTGTAAATAAATCATTATCAAATGCTATCAGTTGTGTGGCGTGCTGCTTGGGGTCTGACGAGGATGGATTTCCTGTGTGTTATGTTCTGGCCACCCCTAGATGTGTTGTAACAAGAATATATCTGTATGTGAGAGAATTACGTGTGATCATGTATAATAATGTATGTGCTAGGTCAATAGCCCAAGTTGTTAGTTGGCATACAAGACCTTGCATATGTCTAGTATAGACCAATTAAACTAAAATTCAGGAGCAGACCCGTTACAAATATCACCATTAAATGAATTAAACAACTTGAGTTCTCCTAAAAGTCCATGTTCTTAGCCGTGTGTTGTGAAAAGCTATGTTTTGCCCAGGTGGTTTACGAGTACGTGTTTCAGCCATTGGTCAGGGCACAGCTTCATGAATACAAAAACTGCCTTGGTGTAAGAAGGAAATAAGTTCTATAGTGACCATGAGAAATGCACCCAGTCCACAAGATACGCATGCAGCATCTGCATGCAGATATTGGAGGGAAGATAATGTATGTATACTAAAAGAAGTTTCTAGTGAACGGGGAAGGTATAGTATGAAGTACACTGGAGGCTGCTTCAATAACACAAACAATTAAGCGACTCTAGGTGGCTAATATGCATTTACATGTAAACATGTTAGTCATTTCTTTTTAAACACTTTCTTGTGATTATTTTCATTTTGGCTTGAAATAAAACACCCCCCTCTGCTGGTGCTGCAGCTTACTGAAACTTCTGCATGTGTGTCCATTTAAAACTCCACATACATGTAATGAATAAAATGATACTTCTTCCAATAAAAAAAGATTATTGTTAAAAGACAGAACCAGTCAGGCAAGGTAAAAACTAGTTTAGTCTCTGGCTTCAAACAGCTTCTCCTGTGCTCTGTCCCCTTGCTTCCTGTGTATCCACACACAGGTCTCATCCTTTCTGTCTTCAAATTGTTATTCAAAAATTGTGATTATTAATTGGCAAGACTAAGGAAAATGGCGATGAGGTTAATTTCTTTCTCAGTTGCAGATTTTATCTAACAAGATCGAGCAAATACTGAAAATAATAAAGTAAGTCCACTAATAAGATAACATAAGGTTCAGGGATACAGCTTACAATTAGGGATGCGCGTGACTAGTTGACTAAACGATTGATCGTTGTTGTTGTCACTGGTTGGAGATTGCTTCATTATCTTGTTATTCTTTTATTGCAACATGCATCACGCATAATGCACAGCACAACACACTTTTCAGTCTTGATTTAGTATTTTTCAGATGTTAGGACATGCTTTGTTCCTCTGGACACGGATACACAAAAGCACACGTGCACGTTCACACACACACACACAC